GTTCCAGATTACTTACTCACTTGTCTCTAATTTAAGATTGATACTTTGATTGTTTGATTAGGGTTATTCTGATTGTGATTCTGTGATTTGTATGGACTGTGAGGACTGTGATCTGTTGAGAAGTTCCAGATTACTTACTCACTTGTCTCTAATTTAAGATTGATACTTTGATTGTTTGATTAGGGTTATTCTGATTGTGATTCTGTGATTTGTATGGACTGTGAGGACTGTGATCTGTTGAGAAGTTCCAGATTACTTACTCACTTGTCTCTAATTTAAGATTGTTGGTGGAAGCTTAATCTGTATGTGTGTAACTCACTAACTGAGTTAAAGGCTTAAAGGGGTAATTGTCCCTAATCTGGTGGAAGCCCTAGCCCCTTTGTGTGAAATCCATATATATGATGAGCATTATGAAGTGGCATACATCCACTTAGCTTGAATGCCTGAATATGGATTTCTTTGTAAATTGTAAATTGTAAATTGTATTAAGTTTATGGATATGGGACCCTTAAATTGTTTATGTGCAATTCTGCATACATGATGACATGTGAAATTAACTGAAAGTAAATAAGTAATATGTAAATATGTAATACTTCTATGTATGAGTACTATATGGTGGAAGCTTTAGTATGATTGGTTGTCTGCTTTATTTGGATACTGATGCCCATCTTTATAGATGGAAAGCATCAGTGCAACTGGACACCCTCCAGCCTCAACTGATGAGGAGCATGGAGTAGAAGCTCAAGGTACTGAGAGAAATTCTCAGACAAATCCTATGCCTTCTCCTCCTGTTGTTCCTACAAAGAAGAGGAAAGAGGTGGAGTCTAGATCTATAGTATGGGATCATTTTGAAAAGATCCGTGCTCCACCTGCTGAAGGTGAAATTGAGGGACCAGTAGTTGAGGGCAAATGCCTTTATTGTGCCAAAATCTATAAATGTGAAAGTAAAAAGCATGGCACTTCCTCTTTGAGAAACCATATGAAGGACTGCCTAAAAAATCCTCATTGTAAGGACACAAGGCAGTCTCTTCTCACCTTTAATGCCTCTGGAACAGAAGCTTCTGAGGGGGTTTTGGGGACTTGGGTTTTCAACCAAGAGGCTATTAGGAGGGCATTGTGTGAGATGATCATTGTTGATGAACTTCCCTTTAGGATTGTTGAGGGAAATGGCTTTAGGAAATTCATTTTAGTTGCTTGTCCTAGGTTTCAAATCCCTTCTAGGTGGACCATTTCTAGAGACATTTATCAGATTTACCTAGATGAGAGAATAACCCTAAAAAAGTTGTTTAAGGTGAGCACCCAAAGGGTCAGCTTGACCACTGATACATGGACCTCTGTCCAAAGGATCAATTACATGTGCATTACTGCACATTTCATTGATGATCAGTGGAAGCTAAACAAAAAGATCATTTCCTTTGTCCCAATTTCTTCTCATAAGGGAGAGTATATAGCCAAAGCCCTTGAGAGTTGTCTTCTTGATTGGGGGATTAGAAATGTGTTCACTGTTACTGTTGATAATGCCTCTTCAAATGACACAGCTTTGGGGGTTTTCAAGAACAAACTTCTGTCTTGGGGTGGGTCTTCTGTTAGGGTTCAATATATGCACATGAGGTGCATAGCCCATGTGTTGAACTTAGTGGTCCAGGATGGGTTGAGATATGCAGGTCCTTCTGTTAAGAAAGTTAGAGATGTTGTGAGATGGGTGAGGAGTTCTCCTGCCAGACTTAAGAAGTTTAGAGAGATTGCTGTGCTTAATGGGGTGGAAGCCAAATGTGCATTACAACTTGATGTTCCAACAAGATGGAACAGCACATACATGATGCTTAACACTGCCCTTCAATACCAGAGGGCCTTTGAAGCTTATGAGAATGATGCCTCATTGAATGCTGACTTACCTGATTCTATTCCAAACTTTATGGATTGGCTTTCTGTGCAAAGCTTAGTCCATTTCCTGAAAGGCTTCTATGAGATGACTGTGAGAATATCTGGTTCTCTATATGTCACTTCAAATACTTTCTTTTATGAGATTTCTGACTTAGGTTGCATGCTGGATGACATGGTTAACTCTGTTTCAACCTCTGAAAAGGTAAACTGTAAACTGGTATCATTTATCTGAATGTGTTTGTATGCATCTCTTAATTTTTTCTCTGTTATGTCTGTTTTATAGGATATGGGGTCCCATATGAAACAAAAATTTGAAAAATATTGGGGAGATCCTGAAAAAATGAACTTCTTGATATTCTATGCCAATATTCTGGATCCTAGGGATAAGATTGAGTACATGCCTGCCCAATTTGCTCAGTTGTATGGTGATGAAAAAGGAAAATCATGCTTTGAAAAGGTTCAATCTTCTATGGTTGTCCTGTTTAATGATTATACAGCCACCTACAGTGTGCAGTCTGCATCCCCTACTGTGCAATCTACCCAATCTGAACCAGTCCATTCTCAAACTTCAGTTGGAAAACCTCAGGGTAGAATGAAAAGCCAGCTTAAAAAACAGAGAATGGAGGCTGGTGGAAGCAGTAAAGAAACTGAACTCCATATTTATCTAAGTGAAAAAATAGTGGAAGATGAAGAAAATGTGGACTTTGATGTTCTAAGATGGTGGAAGGTTAACAGTGATAGATTTCCTATACTCTCTAGAATGGCAAGGGATGTGCTGGCTGTTCCCATTTCAACTGTTGCCTCTGAGAGTGCATTCAGTACTAGTGGTAGGGTATTAGATCCCTTTAGGAGTTCATTAACTCCTAAAATTGTTGAATCCCTAGTATGTGCACAAGATTGGTTGAGGGCACCCAATCATCCAATCTCTGTGGAGGAAAACTTGGATGATGTTGAAAGATTAGAGAAGGGTACTGTTTTTATTTTATATCTTTTGTAGGTTTCTACTTTATAAATTGTTAATTGTTACTTACCTTTTCTAAACTCTTTTTTGTTTTTCCTTTTTGTGCAGAATTGTCCACTGGAGCTGCTGGTTCTTTACCAAGTACTGTTGGAACACTCCCAACAATTGCTGTAATACTTTTATATAACATTGCTTTCTGACTTTCTGTTTAGTTTGATTGATAAATGTGTGGACTCTTTGAGGCAAATCAGGTAAGATTCCAGAACTGCTAATTGCTAAGTGGCTTGGTAACTTTTTTATAAATGTTGCTGCCCTTACTCAGTTACATCTCTGGTATTCTGGAATTCTGGTATATCACTTCCCTTCCTCTCATATTCTCATTTCTGTTTAGTTATGGACTTATGGCTATGATGATGCTTCCACCATTTGTCTGAATTAAAAAGAGTTTGAGTGTTTGGTATGTTGTTCTGAGACAAAACTCATGAAGCAATTTGCCCCCAACTCTAAAATGATATGAAAAAAAAGCAATCTGAGCCTTTCTTATTAAGTATTATTAGTTCCCTACTTCTCTTTGTCTTTATTGGCTTTAAAGTTTAAAGTCTTTACTGGTTTTGTAATTGAGCAGGAAGATGAGGAATGGATGAATGCTGATTGCTGAAGGCTGATTGGTGACTGCTGGCTTGCTGACTTGCTGAGTTGCTGACTGCTGACTTGTTGAGTACTTTAGTAGTTAGTAGTTAGTAGTTAGTAGTTTAGTGTTGTTTGAGTATTGTAGACAAAACTCATTTTGTGGACTTCATTTTTGCTTTTTGAATTTTGAACACAAGTTGGAAACTGCAATATGTAATTATGTATCTAAAATCTAAATGCCTACATAGCTGATAGCTTTGGTAATTTAGATTATGGTTATTAAGTTTGAACATTGTTACAGTTTTTTTTTTGGTATGTTTTATATTAATCCGAGTTCAAACCGAAATCCGACCCCACCCGACCGTATCCGAACATGGGAAATCCGATAGGATTTCCCTCTTAATTCGAACGGATTGGGGTAATTTTTCCCAATCCGAAATCCGAGCGGATGAACGGTTTTCTAAACCGATCCGCCCGAACCCGTCCGATGCACAGCCCTAATAGATAGTATTAATATATTAGAGTGTACTAAAAAAATTTATTAGAAAAGTAAATTATTTTTTTATAATAAGATAAATTCGTAGTCACTATTTAAGGGTGTATAATTGTATATCGGTAAATCTCCCTCTTATGTACTACGTAATAGTTAAAGTAAAATAAATTCGAGGCCAACCACAATCAAATTGGTCAGGCGGTTGATTTGATAACCACACTGTTACATGTTCAGTTTATCTCATTGCGATCTTTTGTCTGTTAGGGTCACAAGCGAGGTTTACACAATGCAATACTATCAAGTAATGATTATAGGTTTCTCTCATTACTCAAAGTAAAATATTTTTTTTTGAGTACTATCGACTCAATTATAATGTACTATCTCTTCAATATATTTTATCTATCAGTTGTAACCCAAAGAGTCAATACACCATCACCGGGTTCAATTCTATGACTTTCTCTCAAAGAGAGCCACATATGTGCCAATTAAGCACAATGTGCTTGACAAGTAAATTAAATTTCAAGTATTCATTACATATATACGTGGAAATCTCCCAAAGAAGTATCACTTAAGACTTATTTTAACGATTAGGTGTGATTCGATTTACACCACAAATAAATTTAATTCATAGTGTATAATTTGGTGTTAAGTCTCAAAGCTAAATTAACTCAATTAAACCTCATGAACTAATGAACCTAAGGACATGTTTATGAAATCTAGGTCCGACAAAATGAAAAATATTAGTTATCAAATAGGTGGTATTCTTTTATTTTTGACAAATTACAGACTATTTTACTAATCATTATTTTTTCTTTTGAATTTTAACAAATTCTAATTTTCTATTGCACTGCAAAACAGTTATTAGAGGTCACCTACCAATAGGCCAAGCAGGTCCAGCCTAATTCTCAATCAATTCAAAGTAGTTTGGGACAATTATAACTCTTTTATTTACGAAAAAAAATTCACAATCACTATCTAAAAGTGTACTTTAGAACAATTATAACTTTAAAACTAGTGGTTAGGACGAGAACCTCTCAACTAGAATAAAGCATTTGGCATTTGAGATATGAAGAGATCTTAGTAAGGTGTGGATTCCTTCCACATGCTATCCCATCCATGACTTTGAAACCTCATTACATTCTAAATTATCAATCTTCTGCACTATATATGTTGTATTCCACTTTGTCTGATAAGTTGAGCAATCCTTGGCAGTCTTGATCTTCACTTACTTTGAGAGAAGCCCAAAGAAGGGATTGGTTATAGCAGAGTGCAATACAATCCCAGCAGACTTCAGCACAGCCATGTCAAGCTTTTCTCTGGGCAAGAACAAGAACTGATCTCCTCCAACTCTTTCAAATCCGCAGAGCTCAAGAAACTGAATGCCTTCCCTGCAAAATCCAACTCTGGCCTGTCACCAGATCATGAGCAATGGCATCAACATCCTTGGAAATTTATATTATAATGGTTGATTAGAGTTTCAGACATGCAAACCAGCTTAGTTGGCGTGAGTGGCTGTGCACTCTTGTCCCTTAAAGAGGTCGGGGTGTCGTATGGAAAAACCAATCTGGCCAGCACTTTACCCCTTAATTGGGCCGGCCCGGTGTGAACGGGGATTAGTTTGAGTATGGTACGGGCTTAAAGGTGCTTCCTACCGTTAGGGCCTGCTCAGGACACCTCGTGTTTCAGACATGCTACCGGGAACTTAAATAATAGTTTGAGTGTTGTGTACATTGTTGTATTTTGCATGACGAGGGAAACTCGCAGCCACTACACAAGAGTGTGCACCTGGTAAATCCCGTATTGTGATTGTTGTATTTAATACATGCCTAAAGTGTTTTTGATTCCTTTCACATATCACAGATATTTTTCCTAACAAACATGGAATATGAAAATAGGTAAATGTTGAAAGACTGGAATGCTTGGGGTTCACCTGAAAGGCTGGATTCCTTAGCCTGATCTTCCTGAACTTTTCTTCATCAGGATTATTGACCACATTTCTGCAATATATTAGAAGTGTTTGAAATGCCCTTTTCACCTTGGTATCATCTTCCTGCCACACATGGCATTTGAAGATTAGATTACACAAAATAGAATTGCTGATATGATTCTGAAATTGGGTTTCTCGTAGAAAAGAGGGATTCCATTATTATGCTATACAAATGCGTATTTCATAAATCTAAAATGCTAGTAACAGTTTAATGGAGACAGAGACTGCAGCTAAGTTTATTCTTTCAGAACAACCTTGCACCTCTTAGTGATTCAGAAGTGCACAAAAATGAGCCTAGAAGAGATTCTTTCAAATTTTTTGGGTTGCATACTAATATACACTACGTAAAAAAGAGCAACGTCTACCTTGTATTGACGCCTAAGAGATCTCAGACATTCTCTCATGAGCTCTGTCCTCGGAGCAGAATAATCAGGCAAGGGAGCAGACTTGGTCACTAATGGGTTCTGTCTCTGATTGCCAGAAGATTAATGAGATTACCACAGGTTTTAGGACTGAAGTTCTTAGAAGCCAGAGGATATAGTGCAAAAGTATTACCTCCTTTTCGTTCATCAAGGATGCGCTATGTATCCCCATTCTTTCTGCCTATTAGAACATACATTTGTGGCGTACAATGGTAAATGGTTAGAACAAATGTTAGATCGAAAAGAAACTTGAGGTATATACCTTATCCTGCAGCAACTTCTGTCGAACTCTATCTCTTGCCCTTCTTTCTTCCTCTTTGTCTTTCTTCCGTTGTGCTATAAAGCTGATATAGTACCATGTGATTTAGTTACAAACACTCACTATGAGTTGGAAAATGAAATAACAAAGAACTCAGTTGTGATACAAAAGTGGCATGACTGGTTGAAAAATTACCGTTCTCTTTCAGTTTCTTCTGCCCGTCGCTTTGCCATTAACAACTCCTTACCGGATTGAATTCTTTCCTAGAGTCAAAGAACTCAATTAAATAACCTGATCTCTCTCTTAACACAAACATATACTAAGGAGAATAAGGGATAATAGGATGCAGTCTAAAACACTAGATTGTGGTTTAACATAAAAGCAGCAGGTCCGAGAAATTATGTCAAATATTAGCTTCAATGCAAGTATGCAACCATGGAACTCCATAAATTCTTGATTATGAAACCAAGTTCAAATTACATCTTCCTTTTATGGAGTATAATTTTCCTATTTGCAATAGGTTCCAGAAAACTTCGTTATTCTATTGCTGCACGGCTGCACATAGAAAGAGTTTAATTTTACCCGTCTTCTATACAGAAAGAGATAGAAACATCCCAATCAAAGAGCTGTTTTGCTACAATACAGGGTGATGTGCTAATACTTACAAGATCTTAATGGAACTGCTGAGTGAAAGAAAGGCTTAAAGGCATTTATCACCTCGTAACGAAGGTAAACAGGAAGGAATAGTGTAGAGAAAACATGCAGTACGCTAGGCGATAGATGCTGATCGAGGATATGATCAATATGGAACAATACCTTTTCCCTTTCTCTTTCTAGCTTTTTCGCTTCCTCTTCCATTTTACTGCGCGCTCTATCCCTATCAGGAGAACTAGAAATTTATAAGAATCAGAAATGTTTAACCACAGAAGACCAATAGAAAAAATAAGTATAATGAAAGGAAATATACATCTAATTTGAGTGCTTGAAGGGGAAAACATTCAAGAGTTCCTTCATGAACAGAAAAGGTAGAAGCAGACCTTAGTCCCTGTGCTCTAGACTCTACTTCTTCAGAAATCGAAGGACCTTCAATATCAATAATCACTGGGACCTGAATGCAATTTCCACAATCAGTGTTGTTCACAAAACCATGAAGAGGAAAGGTAACACAGTATATAGCAATTGAGATTGTTATGTTAAGTATTATTTGAGTTTGGTGCAAAAGTAATTCCGAAATCCGAACTACTATAGGTTAAAACTGAATAGCCAAGATAGTCAACTATTGGTTTCGTAACCACAACGTTCCAAGTTCAACTCCTGGTGAGAGCGGTCTATTGGCCTTCTTGGTTTGAGCGGGAAACCTAGGTTGGTTTACCGTCCATTCACAAGACAGGTTTCCTTCGTCATCCAAAAAAAAATTGAATAAGCAATGAAAGAAAAACTAGAAACTTGTACTCTAGAAGCCAATTGTTGTCCAAAAAAGCATAACTGCAAATTGACTCTATCTGAGTATCTGCCATTATTATATATCGAAACTCAAAAGTTATAAACAACAAATTCTTGAAGATTAGTCATTTTCCCAAAGTAATCAAAACAAAATCCCAATAGCAACAGAGAAAACTACTTGAAGATCAAAAACTAAATGCATAATGACTGGAATTAAGCAACACACCTCGGCCGGGTCATCCTGATCATCATCTGGCCTTTTCTGATCATCATCCGGGCTTTTCTGATCATCATCTGGGTCATTCTCATGATCAATAAGCCAATTTATAGCAGCCTCAATACTCGAATTACCTGAATTTAATTCATAATTTTAAAAAGGAAGGTCATGAAGCACAAAGAAACTCAGAGCTAAATCTTATGAACTAACCAGAAGATTGAAGTGCCTTCTTGGCTCGGCTCTCGGAAAATCCCATGAATTCAAGTTCACTAAGTAATCCATTGTTAACTTGCAAAGCATCCATTCCTTAAGTTTGACAAACCGAAATGAAAACCGTAAAACTTATAGATTATTTCACAAAATATAACGCCCAAGCAAAAGAAACAGTTGAAATTAAAAAGAAACCGGACCCGTTCTTTATATAGAATCTCGCTATTAGATTTGAACTGGTATAGGAACGAGGTTAGATGATTATACGCTGGTTCTACGGACTTCGGGAGAAACCTGGCGCGAGGAGTTCCATGAGGGAAGAAAACGCCACCGGAAGACATCAGAGATTCCGATTCTTTGCCCCAATCCTCAAGCTTCTGGTTTGATAGATTCTGCATTTTTGCTTCGTCAGTACCCACAGTTTTGAATTGGGAAGAGGGGAAAACGATATCAAAAGCGCGCGAAAGTTGCATATTGGGCCTCAGAAGCCGGGCTATTGTCCGCTGATCGGAGCACAAATTGGACTTTAATTTGAGGCTTCCATTCCCTCAACTTTTATGATCTTGTTAATTGAAAATTTTCCATTAAAATTCTATTACTTCCCATAATTAATCACATGCACTTCCTCCAAATCCCTGAGGCTATCAAACTTAACCAACTATGTTCTTGATTATTCTGTCCCTTTTTCGAGAAAAATTCACAACTATTGTTCAAATCTGAATTTGTGTACTGAATAATTTTATTATTGTGTAATAGTCCAAACAAAGAAGGGTCGAAACTCGTATAGTCTCTCTCATATTACCAAAGTGATTGAGAGCTCTAGAATCCATAATCATTATCCAAAGCATTTAACACAAATCCAATCTTCCATGTGCCTATTGATTTAAAGTTAGCATCTTCAAGTCAATAAATACTAACAACTCAATGTAGAATCATGCAGTCAATGTCTGTAACTAAATGGTACAAAATTGAAGTCACATTTTAAACAGTGGTACTCTGGGCACATTCTACAGATATGGCTTTCATAGCTGTTCTGTATGTCATTTTACACAAATGGATTTTATAGCTGCTCCTCAAGATGTCATTCCGAGAAGTACTGCCAACCAGCAGCAATGCAGGCTATAATTATGACCTTTATAATCAGCTTAGAACTCAAGAAAGATGATGATGATGAAGAGGCTGGGCTGGGAGGATTCCATGGTTTTCCCCTCAATTTAGCAGACAATTTGGATACTAACAAAGTTAAACGACCGGTCCCCTTCGAGGCTGCAAGGAAAGATACACCATGAGTGATTACCCTCGAGAAAAAGTAAATTTTTGAATGGCCTCACGGTGGGTGTCTAAACTCAAGTATGGAAGTGTCAAGTATCTAAATTAATGGATTAATTCTCTCAGTAAGTGTTACCTTTACTTTTCAATAACCGCTCCTCTTCACCGGCACGCCTTCGGAGTGCATTGAGCAGCGACCCGAAGTATAAAGCAAAAACTGTGCATGTAATTGTGATGACATTGTACGGCATGCTAAAATCAGGTGTTGTCAAAGGGACAAGTAATACTTCTGTGTAGGAAAGAACGGGGCTTTCGTCCTGTAAAATAATCCGGATTGTTAATGACAAGAAACTGGACAAGCTTGTTTAGATATTATTTTCTGAAACAAATAAGTACCTGTAGTTTAGATAAAATAGGCAATGTGTTGGCAGAGCTATCCTCGACTAGATGCAAGCTTGTTTTGAACTCGGGAAAACTAATTACAGCTGATGGGATGTCAAACCCCTGATTAGCATCAGGAGGATATTCATCAATGTGCAGAAACCCCTGCAAAGGAATACCAAGCAATGGAATCACATCAGGAATTGGGTGACACTGAAGGAAACATTTTTAATACATGCTCACAATGAAATGCGAGGTCCAAGTTTCTCAGATCATAAAAGGTAAAGATTTCTTAAAACTTTAAATGATATGATTTCCTTGTACTTCTAAAATTACCCTCGCATCATTCAATGAAAGATTCATGCTATTTACAAGCTGACTGAGTTTACTAGCAGAAGGATTTAAAGCTAGGCGTATTGACAATAGAGCAACATACTCCAGTAGTCCAGTTTTTCAACGAAAATTTACCACAGCTTCTAATTCTTATTTAGCAATAACAATTTCATGCATTGAGATTTCAATTTTAATAATGATTTGGAGAGAAATTGCTCATGTGGATTATGCATACCTTGTCAAACTCCAGAGTCAATGTAGCTGAGTTCACATCACAGGCTAATCTAAGAGTAATTTCCATTAGTCCTGGCGAAACCTTGTCTTCAGAAGGTGAAACTCGCATTTTCTCAACAATATCTGCTGTAGATTTGGCATGTCCGTCCAGAAAAATTTTAAGTGTATGATAATACACCTTGACATACCATGGCACAACTTGGAAAATATTGACCCGCAAGAAGCATCTTCCTTCACTGCTAGTAGCACTTTGTGTATTGTCATTCATTCCTGTGGCCTTTAAAGAGATGGCTATAGCACCCCTTTCATTCCCACTTCCCATTAGGAACCTGCTTGCATGCAAGGGTGCCAAATGACTTGACCACAGTACAGGTAACTTCCACCTGAATCCCAAATCAAATGGTCTGGATTGGCTGTAATTTTCAATTGAAAATTCACATAGAATAGATTTCTCCTCTTTGGATGAGGTATACACTTCTTTGATTACCCTGGCTGGAGGTATGGACATTTCAAAGCTTGGGTTTTTCCATGAACCTTCAGAGGTCACATCAACATCATCAGATATACCATCTTTCTTCCATAGAGTCTTCAACTTTGATACTAAATTCTTGTCAAGATGGACATACACATTACTAGACTTGGAAAGAGAACATCTTTCACTAACTTTCCTTCCAAACAATGAGCTAAGAGACCAGCTAGGTTGTACTATTGACCCATCAAAAGAATTCGAGCTAGTTCCAAAAGAATTTGGTTGAAGGACAGTTGTCAGAGTTTGTTCAAGCACTACTCCAGAACTTGATGCAGCTAAACTAAACTCATCTGAAATCAAGTGCAATCTTTGAGAGTGATAAAATCCTCTGTAGATAGATGGTCTGTCCATTAACGCAGCAATTCCAGCTTTATCTCGACAAGGAAGCAACTTTAACCAGGGAGTGAGGTTCTCAGTGCAAACAGCCTCACGGGGTAACGTACCATATCTCAAGTTTCCAACAACAGACCGGAAGCTCCATTGAGGAGCAGCATAAGCAGTTGAAGACTCCAAGAAGTTAACAGAAGCACAAAAGAGGCCAGAAAGAGCATGCGTTAAGTTTTTCCAGGAAGCATCAACCTGATCTTGAGGGACATCAAAAACAGCCCAGAGTTCAACTCCAGGAGGCTTTGCATTGTTGCTCGCAATTGGATCGTACCCACCCCATTGTTCATAGTTCCACCTACCTTGGGTGAAAGACAACTCCATTTCTCGTATGCGAAATTTGTGTACCTAAAATGTAGAGCAAGACTAGCTATCAGCTACAATCTCTGAATGATTCAACCGGTATCAAGACTAAACAGTAAACTAAAGCTCTAATCCCACACATGGGCCAAGAAAAAACACCCACTCTGGAAAAAACATAAATATCAACAGAAGAAAGTAAACAAACAAACATTCCAGAAGCAGAAAGCAAAATACTGAATTTCAAATTGAACCACATAAGAGTCCTCAAAAAGATTTTTTTTTTTTTTTTTTTTTTTTTCTGGAATCTTATCCAATCTCAGTTTCCGAGCTTCATTAAGTACCAGCAATTGATTGTTCATGTAAGAAACATTAGAACTAACATCCAACGTTGCTACAACTACACCTCGTCAGCTCCCACAACATGCAACTGAGTAACAAATTATGCAAAATAACGAAAACAAAAGTTCCTGGAGCTAAACTACTATGCGAAAATAAGAAAATAAGAAAAAAAAATCCAGAAACACATTAAAATTAACCACTACCAAAACAGAATATGATCTGCGGAGTAAATAAATGAATAGGCCTTACCAGTTGATAAATTGATTTGGGGAAAAGATGGTGATGACGGCCATGAGTGTGAGTTGGGGGAACTTTGCTTTCAAAGTGAAAATGAGCAAGCACTTTGCGATCAGGCAAAGGCCTCAACAGCAGTGCTTCTGAGAACTCTTCCTCCTTTCCAATCGTTGATTTGGAGCTCAAAAGGAGCGTAATCAATAGAAAGATTAGCTTTAACCTAACCATCTGATTGCATTTAAGTGAGATTTAGCTATGATTTTAGTGTTGCAAGTATGGAGGATGCAAGATGTTCCGCCATTGAAGCTTCAACCGGTGGACGAAAAGAACAGATCGAGGTTCGAGCTTGCAGGCTGGGCCCAACGGTTGATTTATGGCCCATTAAGATTTTTGGATTGGGCTATTGCTAGAATTTATTGGGCTCACAAAAATAGTTAGTTCAACACTTCGCAAAGCACAATGGCAACTTATATTGTGACCCGCACATCAAAACGACGTTGTTTTGTTTAATGAAAAGAAACGTCATTCGTTTTCCGCAGTTTCGCACCCTTCCACAAAAAGTAACTATGTTATTTAGTTTCATTTTGTATACACTGCAGTTTCAGTTCAACACAACTACAGTTTCATTTGATATTTATAGACTCAAATATGTGAAATTTTAATTTTATTTTATATACACTATAATTTTATTAAAACACAATTACATGATCATTTTGATATAATTACAACTTCATTATACAATATACACTCAAATATGTGAAATGTTATTCAGTTTCATTTTATATACACTGCAGTTTCATTTCACAACAACTACAGTATCATTTTGATATAACTGCAGTTTCATTTGATAATATAAAAATAATACGTGAGGTAGTGTCAGTTTAAATATAATATAGTGTCAATTGATATTAATGTACAAAAAATACGCACGTAACACTAACGGCGCATCATTTCTTTACTTAAAGAAACGACACCGTTTTAATTATGATGTATATGCACCGCGGTCCACAATACCCCAGCACAATATAAACGGGCAAACGGCACATTAATCCTAGGTAGCGAGATATTGCTCATAATTTTAATTAGTTATAATTAATTTGAGAAAATTCTATGTCGGCCACCAGGCCCGGTCACCACTACCAAATTATTGAACCCCTACACTCCACCATGGTTCAATAATTCACTATTGTGACTGCGAGGCAATCTCAATCAAATGGATATTAGCCTTCTTTGATCTTACGAACAATATAAACTAATTTACCATTTTATAGTTATTCAAAAGATTTTACTCTATACACACTATCAATTAATAATTATAAATTTTTCTAATCATCTAATAAAAGAAAATTCAATCCTACAACACCAACAAAATCTTTTATTTAATAGTGCAAATAATGTAGTATACTTTGTATTTATATAGAGATACATATTTGACCCTTATTCATAATAATAAAATAAGAATTAATTTCACTTTTGGTCCCACGACTTTTGATGTTTTATCACTTTTGGTGCACAACTTTAAAATTTTTTAATTTTGGTGCCTAACTTTGTTATTTTTATCAGTTTTGGTCCTTTCGGCCAAATTGACTGCGAAATGTTGCTGGATTTGATATTGTTAGGGGTAAAATTGTCATCCCAAGGAAACATCTTCAATATCTAAACAAAATCACTGTAAAATCATATCTGTAGGTGTTTGATGATGGAAGACGGGCAGAAACCATACAGATCTATGGGATTTATAGTTTCGATCATTGGCAAACTCTTTTTTTCCTCTTAATATGATTTTTCTTTTGTTTAAATATTGAAGATCTTTCCATGGGATGACGATTTTGCCCCTAAAATATAAAATCCGGAAATATTTTACCGTCAATTTGGCTGGAAGGACCAAAACTAATAAAAATAACAAAGTTAGGCACCAAAATTGAAAAAAATTAAAGTTGTACACCAAAAGTGATAAGAACTCAAAAGTCGTGGGACCAAAAGTGAAATTAATTCAATAAAATAATAATAACAAATGAATGAATAAATAAATTATTGAATGTACATATAAATTAAATTCACAACATTTTAAACAATAATATAAATTACTTTTTCATGTACATTATTATTACTACTTTATGTTATCTTATTCAGGATATCTCATCAAAAACAAAAATATCCCCTTTATAAAAATAATATAATAGCTTCTCAGAATTTCTCTATTATATATTACAATATAATAGGCAATGTTGCAAAAATCGCGCCTAGGCGCCGATTAATCGGCGCCTAGGCGCTAGGTGCCATTGCGCCGCCACGAGGAACGGCCTCCGCGGCCTCCTCCGCGGCCGGCTGGCTAGGCGGTCTAGGCGGCCTCCTAGACCGCCTAACCGGCCGGTTCGGCGGTTTTTTTTTTTTTTTTTTTTTTTTCGAAAATGTCGGAAAAGTTTCGGAAGGCATAACTTTTGACTCAGTTGTCCGATTTGGACAATTTTTTTTTTTCAAATCGCGTATTTTTTCGAGATCTATCCACCGCAAACAGCCGAAGGCGGTTTGGTCCACTAATTTCTCAAAAAAATGCTTCTTTAGCTCTTAATTTTAGTTTTTTATGTATTTAGATGGTTTAAACAATTTTTTGAACACTTTTACAACCACTTTCGTAAATAATTTCTAAGAAATAACTATAGAAACCTTATGTTTTATTACTAAATTTTAAAAATTTTAAATTTTAAATTTTATTTTTAATTAAAAAAAATAAAATAAAATAAAAAAATAATAATAAATCGGCGCCTAGGGGGCGCCTAGCGTGTTTTGCAACATTGATAATAGGTAAGAAATTATTTTTCACCATACACATCACTTTTATAACTCTCATTACTTATATTAACATAGTGAAATTTTATTCCAAAAGGAGTGATCGAGTACATAAAGCATAATTTTTGTATCTGAAAAAGATAAAATATTTAATAAGGAGTATTATTATTATTTTTTTTATATAAAAAATATTTTACTATCAATTTTTGTTATTTGACCAACACTATCCACAATAATGGTACTACTCTTCAACATCATCATTATTTCCCTATTAACGCAATATCTACCTGCAGCTTCAATCCCAGCAGATCAATTGAGGAATCGAACTCAAAGAAATTAATTACCAACCAATAATGGAGCTTCTTGTCTCCAATTCCTTAGCCATAGCAGGGATATTCATCTTCGCGTTACTCTACACTTCACGGCGAGGAAGAAAAAGTAATAGCAATTCAAAACCTCCGGTAGTCCCCGGCGCATGGCCGGTGATCGGCCACCTCCGGCAGCTCACCTCCGGCAAGGAACCACTGGTTCGGACTTTGGGAGCGCTGGCGGATAAATACGGCCCTATATTCACCGTCCGGATCGGAATGCAGCCATCGGTTGTCATTAGCAGCTGGGAAACCGCCAGAGATTGCTTCTCTACCAACGACAAGCTCCTCGCTGATCGCCCGCCTAGTTGTGCAGGTAACACCTTCAAACTGGATCGTGTGATTCAATATCGATAGGGTTACTGGATTCGGGTCAAATTAAACGCAACTCTTAAATTAAGAAAGAAAATATGCATGTATCCCTAAAATCGATCAATCCTGTAATTCTAACTAGCTAATTGATAAAATTAAAACTTAATTGTATGATTATGATGCATATGCAGGGAGGTATTTGGGGTACGACTATGCAGTGTTGCCGTTCAGTCTGCACTGTCCATACTGGCGCCGCATGCGCAAGCTAGTGGTGGTGGAATTGCTCTCAAACAACACACTGGAGAAACTGAAGCCTGTGTGGATGTCGGAGCTGGAGGCCAACATCAAAGAACTCTACACTTTAGTACTCGATGATGATGATGTCAACTTCCGGCGACCAATAAAGGTGGACATGAGTGAATGGTTTGGACATTTGACCTTGAACTTGATCGTGAAGCTGATCGGAGGGAGGAGATACAAGTACAGGCCCAAAGATGGCGCGGAGGAGGCGGAGGAGGAGGCACGATGTATGACTAAGGTGTTCAAGGAAATTATGTGTCTCGTGGGGGAATTTGCTCCCGGGGATGCGTTTTTTCCGACGGGGTTGGTCCGGTGGTTGGATTTCGGCGGCCAAATTGCGTCCATGAAGCGAGTCTCCAAGGCCATGGATGATATTCTTCAGAATTGGATTAAAGATCATGTTCGGAGGAGGGAGATTAAGGGAGCCGACGGAGACGACGATCGAGACTTCATAGACGTCATGCTTTCAGTGATCGACGATAAGTTCCAGTCCGGCGACCATTCTTATACACGCGACACAATTATCAAGGCAGCATCACTGGTATGTATGTACACCTTCCATTTTAAGTTAAGGGAAAATGGCATTTTTCCTACATTAATTGACGATATGATTGATTTTCCCCTTGATAATGGGCGCATATATATTTTTTTAATTTTTTCTGATTCCAATATGATTTATGCACTCAACCAAGTTATGATTATTATGGTCTGCGTATCATTTAAGCACTGACTGCCTAGGCCTCCTAGAGATCGACTAGGTCGCCTGGGGCCTATGCACCGAGTCGCCTAGTCAGCCGATTAATTATTGTTCTTTTTTTTTTTTTTAAATGAGTTATTTTACTGACATCATTTTGAGCAAAATAACCTTAAATTATTCAAACTTTAGATGTTTTTAAAATTAATATTTAATATTATAGTATTAACTATTAAAGTATTAAATAGTTTATAATTATTAAGTCTTAAAAAATTTAGATAAATTTTTAAAAAATTAAAAATACTCAGGTGCTTACGCACCCCCGAGCGTCCGAGGAGTGCCCAACGGTTTTTTCAACCATGCTGCTACTAATAGTCTAATATCCCTACTTTTGGTGCAGAGTATGCTGGAAGATGCTGCAGACACTTTAGGCCTTAATTTGGAATGGGTACTATCCTTATTATTGAACAACCCCCATGTAATGAAGAAAGTTCAAGAAGAGATAGATAGCATAGTTGGCAAGGAGAGATGGGTAGAAGATTGTGACGTTGATAACATGGCATACCTCCAAGCTGCTGTAAAAGAAGCCATGCGATTGTACCCGCCAGCGCCTCTGTTAGTGCCACACAGAGCCATGGAAGAGTGCATTGTGGGTGGCTACACCCTTCCAAAGGGAACCATTTTGTATGCCAACGCGTGGAAGATACAACGAGATCCACAAGTATGGCCAGAGCCCGAGAAGTTCTTGCCGGAGAGGTTCCTGGCAGGTCAAACAGAGATGGATACTCCTAGTAGGCATTTCGGGTTTATTCCATTTGGAATCGGGAGAAGATCTTGTCCTGGAATCTCGTATGCGTTGAAGGTCACGCACCTTTCCATTGGTCGTTTGCTCCAGGGATTCAATGTCACCACACCTTTAAACATGCCGGTGGATATGTCTGAAGGCCAAGCCACCACTTTGCCTAGAGCAACTCCATTGGAAGTGCTTGTGACTCCTCGCTTACCATCCTCATTCTATGGAGAAATGTAAGTTCAAGTCATATCTATGCTTTGGGCAGATAAGATGTGTGATCTTCTATCTCTGGGTTACTATTTTGGAATAATTCCCATAACAAAGTAATAAAAGAAGCTAACTTGTTAATTCAGTAAACGAGCTGCTAATGCAATTGTAAGATTGAGGGGCAGAGTCTTGTATGTGTAAGCCATCTTAAAGCAGTTTTTCATTCTATGTGACCAAAAACCAAAGAAGAAAAGGCCAAATAAACTATATTGTTTCTAAACTTTGAACTAAAACACAGATAATAATTTCCTACTCGCTGGAAAAAATTTCAGAATCCTTTGATAAGAGATAATCCTTGAGATCCACAGGTTGTACATTAAATTGTTAAGTAAATATTCAGTGCCGCAACATATTATGTACATTAACCAATTTTTGTCCTCGTCAGTAGCATAGTTACACTCACACATCTATGTCAGGGAAAATCAGGTGTGAGTCCAATCCTTCCAGCAACTATCTTTGAACCTCAAATTTGATATAGCCTAAAGGGCGAAGGAGAGCAATATATAATGTTTCAAAGAGGGGCATGATAATATATGTTAGTGCCACAAAATTGTTCTGCACAAACTGAATGTGGAGAGTATATGCAAGTTAACCTCTTTGTGCTGTGATGGGTTTGAAGATGAAACCACAGACCAATCGACATGTTTAATGTGCTGTTCCAAAGCCATCAGGTTCGGCATGGAGTAGATTTGGTTCGTAGCCAGCAAGACTTCGTTCCCTGTGTAGCAGCCAAGAAAATGGTACCATGAACAGATTGAACAATCATGAATTTTAAAATGTTGGTTCCAGAGAAAGCGGTACCATGAACAGATTGAACAGCTATGAATTCTTAAATATGATCCAGTAAGATTTATGGCACAGAACAAACAGCCATTACACAGATGGAGCTAGAGATGGAAGAAATGAAGGTTTGGAAAAGATGTAAAGAACTTACTTTAAGAGTGTCCTCCTTCAACAATTCCAGGGACTCAGCGAGTTCTACTTGTTGTGATGCTGTTGCAAGGAGTGCCTAAAATACAAACGAGTTAGATGCAAGCAAGAAAGGACAATTCATCAATTTCATATTTGGATGAGGATAGGTTCTTACTTTCCTTGTCCTTTGCAAATCATGTTCAATTGACTTGATGCGGTTCATTGAATCTAGCAGCATGTGGTCCTTTTCTGGAGGAATTTCCGTAGGTTTGTTTAACAGTTCTGCAACTGCCTTTTCTAACTGTTGCAGCCTCTCACAGCAGGGATGGAGGAGGTCCACTTTTTTAGGGGATGATATGTTTTGTTCTTGAGGACTAATATCAGGTGCAATCAACCTCTGCTCGTTATCTGATGTTCTGTTCAAGTTATTCCTCACACACACTCCACCAATTCTGTTTCGGAAAATGTATATCCATCCAAGTAATCTGAATAGGATGTTGACCAATAATTTCAAGATTGATTTCTCTTGAACTTGTGTATTACCATAGGTCAAACCTGTTGCAAATGAAAATAGCATTTTTATATGAGAAAAATAACATCCTTTTTAAAGACAGATAGGTAACGGCGTAACACCACGTTAGGGAGTGAACATTATGTAGTGACTTTAATAAAGGAAAATAGGGCAACCCCAATCAGGGCTGTTGGCTTGGTAACCCCAAGGTTCCAAGTTCGACTCCCAATGGGGGCAGCCTATTGGCCTTCTTTGTTTGAGCCGGTCAGCTGGGCAACCTAGGCTACTTTACCTCCTTGTAGTCTTTTACCGACTAGGGCCATAAGGCAGGATTAGGGTAGTGGCTGAGGGTTTCCCTCGTCATCCAAAAAAAACAGGGAAAATAGCATTTTACTAATAGTAATCATATGCAACTACAATTGTTAATGGTTGTTGTGCATAACAATGATACTGAAGAAAGAACCAATCCCACTACTTACTTGAAGAGCTAATACTTTCAACTCTACTCCCATCATCCAGTTGTTCAACTATCCTGCAAAGAGATTCAGGTCTCCTTTCGGTTTCCTGGGAATTAAAGTTGGGAACATCATTACATTAAATGACGAAAGAAGCCATATGTTGTTAAATAAAGTAGATACATGAAAGAATCAGACTCTCTAAATGTGGACATTTAGAACACACATCTGGTTTGGAGAAAGAGGTAATTTCTCTTCATATATATAGAGAAAGAGATGCATAATAAATGTTCAAAAGAATTCACAACCATGATTGCTTTAGAACAACTTCCAACTGCTAAATAACTATCACTGGCAGTCAGTTGGAACTACTGTATTGGCAGAATTCATTCAAGCTTAGAAAATTTTGCAACCATGGTGGATGTATAACAAATCTTGTAACACCCAATTGTGGAAAAACTATTGCTGGTGTTGAACAGGCTTAATGTCATAGCAAATCCTTCTTCGTAGTCTTAGGTCAATATACTGAATATAGTTCCATTTAGTTTTAACTTCATTTTCCCCTAATCTTGTAGGTAAATAGAGAAAGGTGAGAAAACAGACAAATATTTAACAATAAGTAGAGTAAAATAGCATTGACATTTACTTTGTTAATAGAATGTTGGATTGACTTCTTGCCACTGTAAGCATAAAACCCCACATCTGCCCCGGGTTCAGCACAACCAATCTCGCTATTTAGTAACTGTTCAAAGAAGCAAAGTTTCAGACTGATTGGAAGGTAATTGGAATGTGTAACTTTAATAAGCTAATCACTAATAAATTTTCTTACTGTAATAGAAAGTGGCTTGATTTCTACATCACTGTCAGAGAAACTACCAAGTTTCCTAAAAATTGTTTCCCCTTGTAAAGCAGATACCAGCTGCAAGGGATGGAAAGCATAAGAAATCAAGTGTGTTACAAATCAAGTAAATATTTTGAAGCCTATGATTGGATGGTAGTGAACAAACCTTCATCAATTCTGGATCATTCCAAGGTCCCTTGTCAGATCTCATACACCCACCCTCGTTTTGACACACACAGGTTCCTCCAAGAAAATCTGGCAATTGGCTGCTCAAAACAAATAAATAGAAACAACCTTAAAACACAAGTTTTTGTTTTTGTTTTTATTTTTGAAAAGTTAAAACCCTTGTATCTTTACTGATACTAAGAAACACTAATACTCACTTAGGGTCTATGATTTCCAGTAATTTGCTCTGGAATTTGCTCCCTAAGACCTGTAAGTGCATTGAAAGCCATGCTATTAGTTCTCTGTTCATTGTGGTCCTAGGTACAAAACCATTTACAGTAAATATTCTTTTACATGTATCTTCGCAGTTGTCCGTGGATCAAGAAAACCTTTTGCAGTGTTCCATAGCAATCTAAATCCACTTCCAGCGTTGACAATGAACATCTGGTTTAATGTCTGCAGAAAGTGAGACCAGATGAACAGTTAGAATAAAGAGACATAGGAAAGTAAACATCAGCGTTTTGCATCATTTTACACAAAAATGATAATAGAGGCACCTCAGGATAGTTATCACCATCGATTTTTTGCATGCGCATGACTAGATCATGTGCTAGCTTTCCAAAACTTCTCCAGTTCTGAATGTTTTCAGAAGGGGAAAAAAAGTGAGAGACTGAGAATAATATAAATGCAACAGATAGGAACAGTTGACAGCTACAATACAGACCATCCCGTGGACATCAAGGATTGTGGTTGAAGAATCTATATGCCTCTTTGCTGCAATTGAACATGCTGGAAACTTCTCAGCAAATGCCTTTTCAAACCCTCGAATGTGATACTTCAAGAACCGGTCAATTGTTGTGACATTCATAAGCTTACTAGGTTCAATTTTGCCAAGTCTTTCTATATAGACAGGCCTCCCCCCTTTATCTACGCCATGGTAACCATGAGGGTAGTAACGCTGAACTTCTTGAAATTCATCATAGATAAAATCCTAAACATTTTTATTCCCACAAAGCATTAATCAGAAGCAGCCTTGACCAATTATAAGTTATCTGCATATATATGTACTGTGTGAAAACACACTCAGTAAAACAACCGTCATAGGTAAAATCTAAAATGTCAATGTCATTAATTGAAACAATTGGAAACTGCAACTCCAAAGATGTCTAAACTTAATCTACTAAAACTTGCAAAACAATCTTCATAAACACAAAAAGAAATAAAAAACAGAAGGCAGAAGCTATCATATTAGAAAACCATTATTAAGGAAAACTGTCCATAAATAATAATCATATGAGGAACAGCAAAATGTTGGCACATGATGATGCACGGCGTTACCTGTATAATAGTGTCTACTCCATTTTCTTTCCTCCAGTTGAGCATATCAGCCCACATTTGGATTGTCTTATCGAGATCAAACTTCCTTGCTTTTAGAAATCTGTAAAAATGGCCATGTAATTTATAACCAAAAAGGAGGGGGGATCAAACAAAGAATGACAGCATATTTCCTCTTTATGGAGACATAAAGCATCATCAATGACATTCTAGATAGACATATACATGTGCAGTACAGATAATGATGATTCATACACTTCAAGGGAGGTTCTTTGAGTACTGCTGATTCAATAGAAACACACCAAACCCAAAACCAGTGAGCTCAGTAGGTTGCAGGTGACCAATTAACCAGCTCAACTGGGTAAATTCAGAAATGCCATCAATAAAGTGGAAGTCATGTATTCTGGTAAAACAGTCTCTTGCCTTTCCATTAACCCCTAAAGTTACAACAATGCCATCGACAAAGAATCAGACGTTATCAACACATTTTAGAACATCCATTAAGGGTTTGATCATCCAACTACAAAGATTATAATTCAGTGCGCAAAGCTCACATGCCATGTGGGATCGATGAAGGAAGGTCTACATGTTTCTACCACTACTTTTAAAGAGTTGCTTCCAAGGCTTAAACCCATTACGTAATGGTTATCGCAGGAGCACTTAGCCATACACCAAGCTGAACCTCTATTGAGATTCAGGCTTTACTCAATTTGAGTACTAAAGTTCATAATCATCAGAGAACAAGGCCATCCAAATGGAACACACTGTATGTATATATCTACTACTCCGTAGTATTTACTCCATCTCTGCACAGACTTGATGGAAAGACAGAGTGTTATGAGGAACAAAAAAATCCATAATATGGTT